GGGGCGGGGGCAGGTCCGAGCTGCCCGGGTCACCCAGTTTCCCGTCCTCTTGTAGCAGCCTGGAGTTTAGGGAGAGCGGGAAAGCGCCTGCAGCAGCCGGCGCGCGGTCTCGGCTGCTCCCCTTCTCCGACAGCCCTCGGCCCTGGAGGAACCGGCCACTGCCGACTAAGGGGTCTCCTAGTAGGACCCCAGTCTCCTCGTCTTCCTCCTCGTCGTCTTCAGGGTCTCGACTTTCCTCCTCCTCCTCTTCCTCGCCCTCTGGGGGCTTGTGGCCCTCCACGTCCACCTCCTGCTCTTCTTCCTCGTCCTCTTCGTCCTCAGAGCTGTCCTCGCTGGGGTAGCTGCAGCTGGTGCCCCCGGGGGACAGAAGGCCTCGGTGGTGTGGCTGTGGGGCCAGCGGAGGCGGCGGCGGCGGGGGCGGCGGCGGGGCCGGGTGGTGGCGCTCAGAACCCGGCTCGTCTGGCTGCGGGGGCAGCAGCAGTAGCGGCGACGGCGGCTGCGGGGGATGGTGGTGGTGGTGAGGATGGTGGTGGTGATGATGGTGGTGGTGGTGCGGTTGGGCCGAGTGTGGCGCACCCGCCGACGCCCCGTGCAGCTTGGCCAGGCTCTCGGCGTCGTCCTTGCCGCCCACGGGCCGGAAGGCGCTCGAATGGTGGTAGCTGCCACCGCCCGTCTTGCGCCCCTCCAGAAGGTGCGGGTGGTGAGGCGCCGACACCCGGGAGCCTGCCGGGCCTGCTCCGGGGGCCGTGGCCCCAGCCCCGGACGCGGCGCTGGGGTCAGCGGGCGGAGTGGAGCCCGCGCTGCAGTCCCCGCCACTGCCGCCCCGGGGCGACTCGAAGAGCGCATCTCGAGCGCCGGCGCCTCCACCAGGGGGCGGTGGGCCGGAGCCCGGGCCGTTGGCCACCACCTGAGGGGGCTGGCCCGGCGGGGGAGCAGTCTCAGCGTTCCCCCCGGCACTGCCGGGCTCGGCCAGGTCCAGGAAAGCCTGGCGCAGCAGGGCGGGGCTGTCACCAAGCGCGCAGCCTAGCGCCGAGGGTGGCTGGGGTGGGGGCTGTAGGTAGGTGGGTACTGGAAGCCCGCCGGGGGTCCGCGGCGGCCAGAACATGCAGAAGGGCGGGTAGAAGGCGTCTTTTCGGCCTGCCGGCCAGAAGAGGCCAGACAGGCCGGCCTTGGGCGTGGCGCCGGAACCGCCTGTACCCGCGCCCCCCAGGGCCTCTGCTGTGGCGCCCGCGTCCTCTTTCTTGTGGCACAAGCCAAAGGCAGCGGCTGCGGCCGGGAAGGTGTAAGGATGTGGAAAGAGGCTCCCGCAGCCTGGGAACTTCTGCAGCACGCCCCCGAAGGAGCCCTTGCTGGGCACCGGGATGACCGGATAGCTGCGCGGTCCTTTGGCACCAGCCGCAGCACCTGACCCGCTGACGGCGCCGACGCCGGTCACACAGCCACCCCCCGCGCCACCCCCTCCAGGCCCAGCGCCGCCCGAGGCTGCGGCCACTGAGAGGCTGGCGGCAGCAGCTGAGAGGCTGGCGGCGGCCACGACTGCCGCCTCCTGCAGGGAGTCGTCGTCGTCGTCGAAGCGCGGCCTCTTGTGATGAGCGTGCGGTGCGCCTGCCAGTTCTGCCAGGGGTGGCGGTGGTGGTGGCGGAGGGGGTGCGCCCAGCAGGTGTGGGCCCAACAGTCCACCACCCCCAGCCACGGCGGCCGCAGCTGCCACTGCGGCAGCCTTGACGGAGCTGAGCGGGTGGCAAGCCGGGTGTGCGCCCGGCTGGGGTAGTGCGCGCTTTCGGCTACCACCGTTGAACATGGCCTTGACGTCTTCCCAGGCGAAGACTAGCTCGTCCTGGGGGCTCTTGTCAGTGAGTTTGAGATGACGGCGCCACGAATTGAAGTTGGCTGCGTCTGGCTGCGTGTACTTGGCGTCAGGTGTGCGGTGGGAGTGGAAAATGAATTTGTTGGGAGAGAAGTACATATTGCAGTAGCTGCATTTGATGCACTTGGCGCGCGAACTGTTGTAGCGCGCTGGGATGAAGCTGCCACGGCAGCCCCAGGCACATTCGTGGGACACGTCGAAAGCGAAGTTGTCAGGCAGCTTGGGCGGCCTGTTTTCGCCCAGGAATGACTTGCACAGACGCTCTGCCTCGCGTTTGGTGATCATGCCGCAGCGGCGCGACGAGATGGGCATGGCCCCCGCACGCCGCAGTATCTCCAGCTGCACCGGCGTACACTGCACGCACGTGATGCCCAGTGCCACGCGACGGTTGTGGATCTCGTTGTAGCTGAAATTCTTGAGAAGTGTGTTGGAGATCTGCGCCAAGCACAGGCGCTCCTGCCCGTCGATCACCAGCGACACGATGGGAATGCCGTAGAGGATCACCTGGCCCACCTGGTTGGGTTTGAGGTTGGCGTGGCCTGGACGTGGCTGGCTCAGTGTATCCGGCTGGAAGGCGCTCGACGGCGACGCCAGCAGGATGTCTTTGGGCCCCGGCAGCGGGCTGGAAGCCATCTCCGCCGCCGCGGAACCCTGGGCCAAGCCCTCCGGGTCTGCCTTGGAGACTGGAAGGAAAAAAGAAAGCGTTGACTTTAGTCTTTTCAGACTAAAACGGAGGGGTAGGGTAAATTGGTATCTGAAAAATTGTAATAACTTTTTTGCTTTGGTTAAGACATGCTTATTACTGGAGAAAGTGACCAAGTTTCAGATGCAACAGTCATTTCTCTTAATTTCCCATTGGAAGTGCAAAGATCTGAAGGTCCTTCTCTTATGAACGTTCAAAGTAAAATAAATATATATGTATTTTTTAAAGCAGTCAATTCCTAAGGAACTCAAGACCTTATTTTAGATTTATGGAAGCTGTTGGCAGAAAATGGTGTGCCTGCTGGAGATTAGGAAGTAATTTACCAGTTGTAGCTGGTACAGATTGTAAAAGTTGTGAGAAACTGGAGCTTGGCTGTTGAAACCCAAATTTAAAGAGAGACCATTCGCATCTGCTTGAAAATAGATTGATTTTGGTTTAAAAACTCCTAACCTTTTAAAAAGTGATTTTTGTGGTATCTGTGGTTTCCTTGGGGGAAATTCACTACTGGTTGAAACACTGCTCATTAAAGCAAAACGAAATCCCTTCTCATCTATCCTTGATAGTTTCTTTTTAAACTGTAATTAGAATTCTTTTTTTGGTAAAGGTAAAAAAACGTAGAAAGCCATATACACAATTGCAGTAAAACAGAGTGTTTCACTTTCAGTTGTTAGTTTTAAAACCCCACTGCTGAACTGAGTGGCTTTGGTCCCAGATAGCTGGCTTAAAAAGGTAAAGTTGAGGATGGTGAACATTTTTAAAAAATCTTTTCCTGTTGTTTCCATGACAATCAAAAGGTATAGGCAAGTGTGTTAAACCCAGAAACAGTGCAAAGGAACAAAATATTCTTGGGGCTCTTTATTGGCAGCCTTCAAAGACAGATTTAGTTTAACGTGAACTACGTTCTGTGACCTCTTTATCGTGATCTACACCGATTATTTTTGTATGCTCATGGAGGAGGAAGCCCTCCTTCCCTCAGTGCTGATTATCTATGGACTAGGTAATCTGTGGGAGCCCTGAAAGTCAAAATCCGAGGTTGGGCCTGCGGTACAATTCCTAAGTTCATCTCTGGTCACCTGAATACCACTAGAAGGAAAAATATCCAGTAAGTTGAAAATATAGGAAAGGAAAGTGGAAAAACACCCTTGTGACAGTGCTGTTAAGTCAAGACACGCCAAGTGGTTCATTCCCTAGGAGGACAGTGACCTTTCCACTGCTACATGTCATAGCGCATTCACCAAGACTATTCTTTGCCCTGGAAAATCACCAGTGGCCATGGCGTAGCCACACTCTACCAAGTACTGTTTGTTAAAGCGGTAATTTCAGAAGACACACCACCTACTCTCTTATCCAAATTGTCACATGCATGCCCTCTCTCTGGGCCCCCATGGCATCTGTACCACAGCCTCTGTTCCGCTGCCCCCTGGATCCTCAGCTCTCATTAAATTTGGGGCCTCCAGGAAGGTTGAACAAATCTCCCCACAAAACAACAAGAGGAAAGCCTGGCTTGCTACTTCAGATGGATCAGAGACAATATTTCCAGGGGACAGGGCGTTAAATGGCAGTTCAAGGCAGTGAAACCTGAGATGGATACCATCAAACCCAGCTTCACCAAGTGGCCCTTCCATGCTCATTTCCCTTCCAAACAAGACTCGTATTGGCTTAATTTGACCCTGGGATAACTCCAACTATCCATCCCCAGCAATGTGGAGGAGGAGAGCTGGTTCTGCATTAGGAATGGGCAGCAAGAAGGGTCTTCTCCTGGGTGTCCTCCACTTTCACCCCAAACCCTCCCAGAAACTCCTGTCAGAGCAGAGACACAAATAAGAAGGTGTAGCTTGGGAGATTTTTTAAGGGAGCAAAGGGAGAAGAGACAATTAAAAGTTAGTTGAACTGAGAAAGGAAGCTGCAGGAACTTCCCTAGCTTGCTCACGAACCAAAGACCCCCAACTTAGTTCTCCTGGCTTCCAAACCAGTCACCACCGAAGTCCGCAGCAGCCCCTCAAAGTCACGCGGAAAATCCTATCATTGGGGACCTGAAACAGTGAACCGCAAGCTGCGTGCCGAGTTAGGGCCGGCCGGTTCCGGCAGTACCTGGTAACTCCTAGGTGTCTCTAGGCGTGTGGCTGCCAGCCCATCTTCCGAGGGCGCTCGGAGGCGAAGCATCCAAGCGGGTCCTCGAATCCAGCGGGCGGGACTCCAGCGAGCTCAGCGTGAAGATGCGAGCTCCCGTCCGAGCTAATAACGCTCGAACCTCAACCAGGGGAGAATGACTGCCTGAATTGCGGCCAGGCGTCCCCTGGACTGCAGAAAGTGTGGGCGTGCGGAAACCTGCGGCAGGAGAGCCCCAAGTGGAGCGCAGTCTGACAGCGCCTTTCTCTGTCTCTGAACTCGTGTCGGACCGAGGGGACGCCACCCAGCGGGCAGGGTGACGTCACCGTCTCCCTGACACTCCACATTAAAGGGCTGGCATGTTACAGGGAGGGAGGGGGAGAGCGAGAGCTAGCAACATAGTGATCCTTTCTCTGCAGTCACGAAAGCTACCATCTGATCAACGCGCTGTTGACAACAACCTCCCCAACCTGGGAGCATAACGCAGCAATGGTGCTGGAGCTTCAGATCTGATTTAGGAGTGGAAAGCCGAACAGTCTACGTGCATCCCAGAGACCCAGATCCTGGAGGCCCTGATTCTAAAAGGATGTTTCCCAAGTAACAATATTCCTGCCCGTTACTGTCCCCTTCCCTCATTTGTGAGTCACCCTCTTTTATGAATGATCCTTCTGTTACAGGTGCAAATTAGTAGCCTCTCAGAGTGTCGCCAAAGATAGAGAATCCACAGTCAGCTGGGAGAATAGGTTAGCTTCCACAACTCGTTTGAAACACTGTGAAATGAGAAAATGGAGAGAAATTTCCACATAGGGTGTCCATCCAATCTGAAAACTTGGAAGAATAGTGTCCCTACTTTTGCACATACATTTGCTTTTTAGGAAGAGATACAGAGAGTCATTACATCCTTCTCTATTTTATGAAGTGTACATTATAATTAGGCGAGGACCCCAACTTGTGCATGTGTACATTCATCTTTCATCTTCATTCAGAATATTTGGCTAATCCATTTTGTAAGATCCATACAGGCATCTTAACACAAGCGAAAGGTTGCCTGGAGAATCAAGGGGGTGTGGTTCCTAACCTTGACTGGTCCTTGAGCAACTTGCCAATTTTTCTGTAGTAAGTTTCCTTAGGAAACAAAGAAAACAACTAGGATAAGAAAACTTTTCCCCATAGCATTCCCAAAGTGAGGCACACCTGAGGATATTAATGAAACGTCAATATACTGCTTCTTATTTGGCCAGCTGCTAAGAGTCAAAACAACTACTAGCTAGTTTATCAGAAAGGAAAGAAAGCATTTTTTTGGAGGACATTCTGAAAAGGATATCTGCTGGCAGTAGGGTTGGAGAATCCTTTAAGTTTTTCCTTTACTACCATAGCTGAATTTTCCATTGATTCCTGGTGAAACAGTCCTGGAGTTGTGGAAATGATTGAATAACTCCCACTAAACCGGAAGCCCAACCAGACTCTCTCATAGCATCAATAATAAACCACTGCTAAATACAAGAGTAGAAGCATGAAATCTGAACTTTATCAAAGGTTACTAAAACCAGGGGAAGTCAACTGAACAGCAATGAGGGACTTGTTGCTCAGGAGTTGCTGCTATTTGAAATTATTACCCCCCCCCCCAAACACAGTTTTAGAGCCATGAAAATTGAAATGTTTGGCCTAAGTTTCAAAGGGCAGGGAAATAATGTTCCATCCATCTCCTGGTTTCTTAACGGCATTAAAAGCACAAATTAGGCTCTATTCTAAGGTGCTGAAATCAACGTAGGACTCCCTCCCTTAGTCCCTGAAAACCTTCTGTCCTAAAAAGAAGGGAAACCCATGCTTTTCTGCTTGCCCAGCCCATTTGCCAAATGAGTGTCATTGTCATTCACAGACTCCTCCAGAAAGGCTGAAGGCTCTGAGCTCTTCTGAAAGATCCTGGTTGTCCCCCCCCCCAACCCTGCTCTGGAGTCAGAAGCTCCCACAAAGCAGTGCCTGCTTTTCCAGTGCCTGGACTGCTAGAAAGGAAGCTTGAGCCGCGTGGAAAGCAAGCCTGGAAATTGGTGGATTTTAAGACTGCAGATGGGAAGATATGGGAAGGCTTATCACCTCACTAATGTACCCAAGGGGAAATGCCCTGACACTGCTAGGGAGAGAGCATGGGGGAGGGAGCATTGCTGGGGAGAGAGCACCACCATCTTTGGGGCTTCACTTTTTATTGTGTAATTCCCATCTTTACCTCACAGGGCTACACTTCCTGGTATGGTTCCCACCTTTAAAAAAAGAAGTGTCTTCAAAAACATCTTTCTTTCTTTTCTTTTTTTTTTCCTTTTATTAAGTCATATATACATAGATCATGAATACATTGATGCCTGTGTGGGATTCTATGTGTTGATTATTTGTACAAATTGGAGTGCTTACATCCAACTAATTAACATAGCTTTCCCCTCAATTCATAATTGCCAAGTGATGGAAGAGGCCCAAGTACCCATCAACCCATGAATGGATTAATAAATTGTGGTATATGTATACCATGGAATACTATGCAGCATTAAAAAAGATGGAGATTTGCCTCTTTTATGTTTACATGGATGGAGCTGGAACATATTCTTCTTAGTAAAGTATCTCAGGAATGGAAAAAAAAATCCAGTGTACTCAGTGCTACTATGAAACCAATTTATAATCACTCACACTTTCATAGGAAAGATGAATCACAACTGTAGACCAAGATGAAGGAAATATCTTTCTTTAAAAAGAGAAATTGGCCACCTCTTGCCTTCCTTCTCATCCATGGTTACTCTGAGGGGTGAACAAATACCTGGGTGATACCTTTAGT